TCTAACTAGAGGTGATACTCAGACCTAGTTCACACAAATGACAAATGAAGAGCAGAAAAGAGCAAGCAAAACCACGAACACTGTACAGTGGTACCTCTTGTTACGTACTTAATTCATTCCGGAGGTCCGCTCTTAACCTGAAACTGTTCTTAACCTGAAGCACCACTTTAGCTAATGGGGCCTCCTGCTGCTGCCGTGCCGCCGGAGCACAATTTTTGTTCTCATCTGAAGCAAAGTTCTTAACCCGAGGTACTATTTCTGGGTTAGCGGAGTCTGTAACCTGAAGCGTGTGTAACCTGAAGTGTATGTAACCCGAGGTACCACTGTAACTGGAATGAATCCATTGCAAAGTTTGGAACATTATAGTTTAGGAAAAGGAGGGGGTAAAGGAAGCAAAATAAGGGGATATAAAATTATGCCGAGTGTGGAGGACGTCAGGCCTAGCACAAGCAGTCAGCCAGGTCACACACTGGCTAAACACTGCTGTGTGAGAGATCAGCAGCCAAACCTAGCAAATGCATATTCTTGTTTGTTAGCACGAGAAGGGGTCAACACCACAGAGCTGTATTGTTGCCAGGCAGATACTCAGCACAAAGAAATACAATTGATAGAGAGGGCTCTGTGTGATGTCATTTCCCCTTGTCTCCTGGAGAGGAAGGAACATATAGTACTTCCTGTTCCTCTCTCTCATCCCACTACTGAAATGGTCGCCTGGGGTCCAATAGGGACAATCACAAGTTGTGTTGCTACTGTGTGGTAGAGAAAGAAAGAAAAATACATGGTGGCCACATTAGGGGGGATGGGGGGTTGGAAGCCCATCAGTGGTGTCATGCTGATGCAGCCTGGTGCTGCCCAGGAGAAAATGGATAGAGAGAAGTTCTCTTAGGATACAATATTACCCCCCCCCATCATATGGGATCCTCCAACAAATCTGAATACAGTCGTACCTTGGTTGACATACTCCTTGTGAAGTGAACAGGAAGTGAGTGTTCCCGTTTGCGAACGTTCTTTGGAACCTGAACATCTGACGTGGCTTCTGATTGGCTGCAGGAGTTTCCTGCAGCCAATTGGAAGCCGTGCCTTGATTTTCAAATGTTTTGGAAGTCAAACAGACTTCCGGAACAGTTTTCGTTTGACTTCCAAGGTACAACTGTATTGGGAGATTTAAGGTGGAGAAAAGGAGGCACATAATGCTTAAATTATGAAATTAGCTCCCTGAAGAGATGGTGATGGCCACCATTTTGGAGGGCTTAACAAGAAGATTAGGCATATAGATGGAGAGTAGCACTATCTACTCTCAGTCATGATGGCTCTGTACTTTCTCCAGTTTGGAGGCTACTGGGAATTACAAGTGAGGAGAGCATTGTTGTGCTCAGGCCTTAGCTATTGGTTTCCCTTAGGCATCTGATTGGTCATTTTTCCTGCAGATCCTTTTTTTAAAAATGCAGTCGTGCCTGGCGCCAGTTTGTAATATGGTAAGGGGATCCCATACTTAAATCCCATACAATATGCACAAGGTTTTTTTTGGATGTGCTTGAAGTGGCTCTGTAGCTCCCACCATATGTACATCAACTGACATAACACCAACACGAGCTTCGCCATCACATCCAATGCAGAAAGAAGTTTTGAGTCAGATGCATCACATTGGCAGATTCCTTCCCCCCCCACAAGGGAATTTAAAGTAGATTGATAAAGAGGCCTCACCTCCTATGCTGTTCATAGACATTGCTTTTGCCCCATTGTTAACTTTGCAGGTATTCTGAACCAATTCAAAACCCTTTGAGACCTATTTACTTGATATGACTGTGGGATGAAAATGCATACCATAACTGAAAATAAAAAAAATCCTTCCAGTAATTCCTCTTTCACAGAAGCTTCCAGTAATTCCTCTTTCACAGAAAATATAACTAGGGTACCTTCAGCTTGGGGGGGGAGGGGAGGAACCCAGCAGTGAAGAAACCCCAAATATCCAACTCTGTAGGAGCTAAAAGCCACCTCTGTCTCTTGCTTTGTTGAACTCAAGAAAGTCTACAATTACTCTGTGGCTCTTATGCCTCATTCCAAAGTGTGATGCCTGCAAGACGCTTCCATGCCAGAGTCTTATTTCTTGCCTCTGCCATTTTCAGATGGAAGTTACACCTCTTACTCTCTGCGAAAACATGATCAGATATCCCCACGACAGAACTCGGCAACAAAAGAGCGCCGTTGATAAGTGACAACTCTGACAGGTGCATTTTGAAAGTGGATTCGGCTTTGTCATTATGCATATAAAACTTTTGCAAGGGGGGGGGGGAGCAGAGCCATTCTTTCTTTTTTTGTCATTTTGCCAAAGTCTGCCTCAATAAAAATTGCTCCAAACACTGTTATCTTTCAAGCAGGGAGATTCAGATACCAGTATATGTTTATTTTGCACGGCTTTTGTAAATGTTTAATTCTTCAGTGGAGCTTGCAAAGAATTTGATTCTGCAAGGTGAGGAGGATTTTCCCCTTTGTGACATAGAAACAGGACTGCCTGACTAATTTCTCTGGGTCCCTCGCTTGCCTGGTTTTGCTCTCCCCTTGCAATCCCACCCCCCGCCCTGAAAAAGTGGCACCACAAGTCTGATCACATTTGCCATGGGTTTACAGATGGAGAATGCACATAGGAATATAGGAAGCAGCCCTATATTAATCCAGAACCTATTGGTCCATCTAACTCAATATCATGTACTCCAAGGGTGATTAACCAGATGTTGAGGGACTACAACTCCCATCATCCCTGACTATTGGCCTTGCTGGCTAGGGCTGATGGGAGTTGGAGTGCAACAGGGTCTGGAGAACCACAAGTTCCCCACTCACCTCTGGTCTACACTGACTGCCAGTGGCTCTCCAGGATACCAGACAGGTAGTTGGTCTCCCAGCCCTAGCTGGAGATGCTGAGGATTGAATCTGAGGCCTTCTGCATCAAAGTGAAGGCCCCACGGTTGAGCTGCATATCCCTTCTTCTACATGGACAATCCAACCAGGGCCTGCTCCAGGTTGGAGCAGAAGTTCTCGCAGGTTTGAGTGGCTCCTAAGCAAGGTGCTGCCTGGGCCCCAAGTAAGGCGAAGTCCCCTTCACACCACCCACTTTTTGGCCACATCCAAACCATGCACTATGACGGCACTTTAAACAGAGATGACTTCCCCTGAAGTATTCTGGGAAATGTAGTTTGTTAAGGGTGCTGATAGTTGTTAGCAGAGCCCTGTTCTCCTCCCAGAGCTACAACTCCCAGAGTTCTTTGGGAAGAGCAACTGATTGTTAAACCACTCCTGAGAACTGCAGCTCTCTTTCCAAGGCAACACTGATATACATGCAGTAGGTGTGACTTTTGCCTTTCAACGAGTGTAACATTTGCTGTCATGGTTCTATCAGGATGTCCCCATTCAGCTCGTTTTATGGAAAGAATGTTGTGTGACAGCCAAGGACTTCTGGGGTTGACCTAGACAGTTTGCAAATGAAGCCCTTTCTGCCTTCTTTGCCAGCCTCTGGGGCTAAAAGTCTGCTTCTTCCATAGTCTCTCATCTGCTTTCTGACTTGGCCACAGAGAAGCAGGTCAGGTTGATTCCTTTAAGGGTCAATGAAGTGAATGGCTGCAAATGAAAAACGGAGGGGTTAATTTTTGTTTTAATTCAAGAGAACATCTGAATTCAGGATTCTGCACTCCAAGACACAAAGGTTTTCATGAGCCAATTGTTTCATTCCTCCATAGGCTCAATCTTACAAAGGAAACAAGTGTCTTCAGATGCACCCAATTTCATCTTGAAGGATTTAATTGGTAGAAGTACTTTTTCAGAATACAAGAATCACCGTGATCCCTGCTGGATCGGATTAGGCCAAAGGCACACATACTCCAGGAGTTTGTTCCCAACATTGTCCAGTATGATTCCTTTGGAAAGCCCCAAGCAGGCATGGATGTGATGGCCTTGTCCTTGTTGTTCTCAGGAGTTGATGTTCAGAGGCATAGTGCCTCTGGCCGTGTGCCAGCGAATGCCCGAAATAAGCTTGCCAGGGTCGAGGGGACAAAATACTCAGGATGCTGGTTTGCCAGCGCATGCCCAAAATAATCTGCCAGGGTCGATGGGACAAAAGTACTTCAGGATACGTGGTTTGCCAGCGCATGCCCAAAATAAATCCGCCCACATCTCCCCTAAGGTTTACTGTTGGTGTTGCCATTTCGCAATGTAAGCAGCAAGCAGTTTGCTGGGTGGTGGAGGGGGGGAGAGAAGCCGAGAGAAAAGACTCATGAGGCTAGGAACGCATTGGAGGAAACAGCATAGTAAAATAAAAATGGAAATTATGAAAATAGCATATTGAAAGAGACTACGAAGCCAAGTAAGGTTAGGCAACCAAGCAGTAAGCCACTGGGTGAAAGAATCCCAGAGGCCAGGAAAACCAATGTCCTGTTTAATGTGATGTGTAAGATTTTGCAAATGAGAGATTTGACTTTGAATGGCTCTAGAATTGTCAGTAATATTGAAACAACACATGTCATTCACTTGTTCACAGCCATAATGATGAAGCATCAGCAAATAATCTATAGCACGATTTCGTAAAAGTCCATTATATAGTTCACTGTTCTTTATTCAAAAGGGGTTATATAATGTAAAAGTCCATTTTGTAAAAGGATTTTGTAAAAGTCCATTGTGGAGTGCACTGTTCTTTATTCAAAAGGTGAAGGGCTTGTGAAATATAATTCAGAGTTTTTGCTGCATAACAAGCTAAAGAAGTAATGTTCACACGATTCCGTACAGCCAATCCAGGGACTCCTAAGAGAGAAGCAACTAAAGAGATATATTCAGACCTACTGAGAAGAGAGACAAAAGCATCACAATCATTAGTCAATTCAGTATTGCAGCGATAAAATGATGGACAAACGGCTTAAACAGCAAGGTGTGCCATGGCTGATGTTTGCTGGAATGTAATTAAACGTATAGCCAGGACACGACCAGAAGATTTCCAGTTGAGGGGAAGTGCAAGCTTACTCATTAAATTGAATGGTAGCTTGTAATTGTTGTAGCAAGTCTCTTCCCCACAGATTGAGGTGGATTTTCAGCACACAGGGCTGGATGTAAGCAATGGTTTCAGAGCTATCAGGCAGAGAAACAGGCAGCCACTGTACGCTTTTGGAAGAGGTTTGGGGGCCACCCACACCCCAGACAGCAGAGGCAGACTCAAGGGGCCACGTGGGGTCCCAGCAACTACTAGAAATTACAGAAACGTCTGCGCCTGTGTCAATCAAGCCTTCCAGCACAATACCATTGATTTTATACTTACGAAGAAGTTTCTTCTCACCAATCCTCTGGACTACAGCTAACAGCTGTGGAGGGAAAGAAGAGAGCTCGTGCAAATTAGTATCCATAATAGAAGCAGTAGGATGAGAAGGAGCACCACCAAATGCGCCCAAGACTCACCCTTTTTAATTGCATGGGCATATGGCTCCAGAGTTGAACCATTATTGTGCCTACATAGTCAGGATCCAGAACTCCAGGAATAACCTGGATGCCTTCCTTTGCCGCAGAAAATTTGGGTAAAATTAAACCTGCGACTTTAGGAGGCAGGGGACCTGCCAATTGAGTGGGCATAAGCACAATTTCACCAGGTAAAACAGAGTCTTTGGTCTCTTGATTGATCAAATCAATGGCAAATTCAGAAGGTTTAGCCTTAGAGGCAGCACCGTCCTTGTGTGCCCCCCCCGCCAGGGGCTCTGCATTGCTTGGCAAAATGGCCTGGGCGCTTGCAATTAAAGCAGTTACCAGTAGGCTTAGTGGTTGCTTGGATTGCGCCGGCAAGCAAGGACATCGCATGGCTCTGGCTACCGACATCCGCACAAGCTGGAATCATATCGGCCAGTTCATATTTAGGGCGATGTATGATTGACTGCAAAGCTTTCTTGCAATCAGTGTTTGCGTTTTCAAAGGCCAATTTTTTCATCAATTCATTTTGAGCAGTGGTGTTATCAATCTGCCTAGTGACTGATTCTTTCAATCTATCTATAAACTGATGGTATGGCTCCGAATGCTGTTGCTTAATATTCACAAAGGAGCTCAGCGGTTGCCCAGAAACAGGGACTTTCCGAAAGGCGCGTTGTACACAGAGTCGCGGTGCGAACAAAATGTACAGGTGTCAGTGTTGCTTGGGCAGTTATATCAGCAAACTGACCAGCACCATAAAGTTCATTGGCAGTATGTTGAGGATCAGACAGGGCTGAAGCGCTATGTTTAAATTCACTCTCAAACACCACATACTGAGCAGGGGACAAAAGCATGCGCATAAGGTCTTTCCAGTCCTGAGGTAGCATAATGTAACCAGTTGCTATGCCTTCTAGCATCCCTGTCACATAAGAGGATTTCAGACCAGAATCAGCAATGGCTTTCCTTAATTCCCTCATTACAGAATAAGGAAGCGATTCATAATAAATCTGCTGTTGAGCAGTTCCAGGGTTTGAATAAGAGATAGGGAAAGCAGACGGCATTTCACCTGGCCACTCAGACTCCTCCTCTAAGGACAGGAGCCCTTTTTGCCTTGCCAGAGAGAGCGCAGCACGCACAGCTCCTATAGAGCAAACAGGGGCTGTGGCAGGAGGAGGAGGGATGGGGGGGGAGGAATCAGGCTGAGGCGGAGGGATGGGGGGGGAGGATGCAGGCTGAGGAGGGTGAGACGCAGGGAGGGATTGGCTGGGCTGCAAAGGAGAAGGAGGTAAAAGTTTCGGGTAAGGTGGGGGATTGTCTGCAATGGCCAGAAGAGGAGACGCCTGGGGTCCCAATTGGGGCCCTAATTTAGCAACGGCATCAGCACATTTCTGCCAAGTGAGCAGACAATGAATCGGAGCCCTAGGTTCTGCAAAAAGGGTCTTTCCGATCTTTTGCCAAGTCTCTACATCCAAAGATCCAGCCTCTGGATAAAAGACGCATTGGCAATTTATCTCACATAGCAATTGTTCAATTTCTTTTAAGGAAATATTAACACCCACCTCCCGCTGTCTAACTAAATAAAGCAACTCTTTAGCATGCTCTTTCTGGAGCTTAGTCAAGTCCCCTCCCATACTCACGAAGTAGCGCGCTGAGACTTTTCCAGTCGGGTGAAGTATGAGGTTTGGCTGCGTAAGGGATCTGGCACGTCGGGGTCACCAGATGTTGGGTTGAAATCACGACAGACGAATGGTGGGTGTCAAAGGAGAGGCGTCTGCCCGGGGCAAGTCCGGGAACTCTCTTTATTGAATATTACAAACATTGCCACAGGTGTGCTTGTGGCTGATTGGTTGATACAAACACAAAGCATCTTGTTGCTGATTGGTTAACATAGGTACAAGGCGGGAATAACATATGACATCAATCAGTGATAGTTCAAAAGACTGGGAACGGAGCTGGAACTAGACAGGCATGAAACCTCCTAATTAAATTATAACTAAAGATTGATATTGAAAGAACATAACATGAAGGAATACAACAATCACGTTCTGTAGATGTGGTATGGGAGTTCCATTTAGCTATCATGGCTTTGAAAAAGAAAACCATGGATAATTTTGAGAAATGAAGCTTTCCTCTTCCCTTAGTTTGCATCCTTGGCAATGTAAGGATGTAAGAATCTGACCCTAAGAGTGGAGAAACTTCTTAACAAAAACATCTTAAATGAAAGCAATCTGTACCCAGCTGTGCCATGCATCCAGATATATGAGTTACTTATTTCATATATTTATATACTATTTAATACCAAAAACAGTTTACAAATAGCCACAGTTGGTATCTAACTAATGTGCCCCACCAATGCAAGGATGTATGTTTGCTCAATGAAACATCTCTCCCACCTGTGACCTCCCCAGATCTTCTCTGGAGGGGTAGGGGAACTCCTGGAACAGATTTAGTTCTGTTGCACAGACAGAAATCATCGCTCCAACAAAATGATGATGTTGTTGTTGTTGTTTAGTCGTGTCCGACTCTTCACGACCCCATGGACCAGAGCATGCCAGGCACTTCTGTCTTCCACTGCCTCCCGCAGTTTGGTCAGACTCATGTTTGTAGCTGTCCAACCATCTCGTCTTCTGTCGTCCCCTTCTCCTTGTGCCCTCCATCTTTCCCAACATCAGGGTCTTTTCCAGGGAGTCTTCTCTTCTCATGAGGTGGCCAAAGTATTGGAGCCTCAGCTTCACGATCTGTCCTTCCAATGAGCACTCAGGGCTGATCTTCTTAAGAATGGATATGTTTGATCTTCTTGCAGTCCATGGGACTCTCAAGAGTCTCCTCCAGCACCATAATTCAAAAGCATCAATTCTTCAGCGATCAGCCTTCTTTATGGTCCAGCTCTCACTTCCATACATCACTACTGATGTATATAGCACTAAACTGGATACATCTGCAAAAGAGAACACACAGCAAAAATGAAAACCTTACATATGCCATCTAAAATACAACAATAACACAGCCACATAGTCCTGAGACGGCAAAACAGAGCCCAGAGTAAGTGGCATCACTTTGCCTATTGAACATGGCAGAATCTGGATGCAGATAAGACCCATGCTTATAAACCTAGTACAAAATAATATGACCTTTACACTCTGCAGTGTCCCCCAGTGTACTGCTGTGAGCTGAAAGAAAGGTCAGATACTGAACTGATGTCCCCACTTCACGTGTTTATATAAAGCAGGTTCTTGACACCAGGGAAGGAGTGAAGAGGTTAATGCTCATTACAGCTGTGCCCCTTCATCTGCAATGGAGCTTGAAGACTAGATGAAATGCACAATCACTTCCCACTGGTAGCAACAGACTATTCAGAGAATGATGCCGTTCGCTCTGTTCTGAGCGTTCTTGCGGGTTTGTTTCTTTGCTCTGTGCATTGACTCAGGTTCAGGGTCAGCACCAGATTTGATGGGAACATGGGCAGGGGGCTCTCTGGGGGCTTCTCAGGAAACAGGAGGGCATCGTTTCTACTTACTAAGTTTTTAAGAACACGTCATGGTGCTCTTTTTGGACTCAGTATGCAGACGAATACAGTTTCCTCTGCACCCAAAAGCTATTTACAAGTGTTTTAATGTGCTGATGACTGATGCATGGAATTAATTGCACTGATTTGGAGGAGAGGGAGTGTGGGTACCCTTCTTCCTAACCTATTCAAGCAGGAACAGGGAACCTCCAGATTCTGATGAACTGCAATTCCCATCAGCTCCAACAAGCTTGACCAAGGGTCAAGGATGATGGGAATTGTCTTATGTGGCAATCACTCGTAGCCAAGTAAGATTGTCTACTATAAACACGGTTTTAACAGTGAGTCCATAAGTGACTGTGGAGGCCAATACTGGATCCACACATCCTTCCACAGTGGGAACATAGGTTTCTGGGCGGGAGCTGATCACGGTCAAGATTTGCCAGGCATGCCTTCCTCTTAGCATGTTTCTCACTTTCGTCCTGAGTTCGAGCATCTTCAAAGCCCATGACACCTTTGGTAAAGGCTGTTCTCCAATTGGAGCGCTCGCAGGCCAGTGTTTCCCGGTTGTCGGTGTTCATACTACATTTTTAAAGATTTGGCTTGAGAGAGTCTTTAAACCTCATTTGTTGACCACTAGCATTACACTTTCCATTTTTAAGTTCAGAATAGAGTAGTTGCTTTCGAAGACGATAATCTGGCATCCGCACAACATGACCAGTCCAACGAAGTTGATGTTGAAGAATCATGGCTTTGACAGTGGCAACTGTAGTCCAACAACATCACCCATGAGGAACCTGAGTCAATGAGGTTCTTGCCTCTTCTTTGTTTGTTACCCATGCCTCTTTAGGATGGCCCTGCTAGAACTGTTGCCATCTCCAAACAGTTAACCCCGTTTTTCACCTTTCCAGAAGAAGGAATCTGACAGCACGAAACCCCAAACCATCAGCTGAACGTATTTTCATTCTAACATTATGAAAGCTACACATTTTCGCGGGCTGTATCCTCGCAGGCAAGGTCAGGCCAGGGGAAGGTCCAGCTGTTTCGTTTCCATCATTTACTCATTTATTTCATCAGGAAGATTTCCTAATTCAAACTCAGTCTGGTGGCTGCGCTTGTTGTGGACGTGGCGTTCAAGGCCCACAAGAGACCAGGCCTGGCAGCCAATCCTTGCTGGCATGGCTCACTATGGCCAGTGGCAGCTGCTCGCCTGCTGCATGAGCCAGAAGAGAAGAGCAGCCGAGCAGATGACAGATAAGCATGGTTTGCTGGAGAAATGAAGAGCAGGACACAAAATACATCACATTGCAATCTAAACAAATAAGATTGGCTCTGTACAGTAAGTCCTTCAGGTTTCTTCATCCATGGTTATCAGCCTCAGTTAAAGAAAGGGGTCACAATGTGGTGCCAATTGGCATAATGGTGCCCTTAAGGTCTTCTGTGGTGCCCATGAGGTCTCTGTGGCCACCCTCTCACTGCCCCCTTGGTGAGGGTACTTACCTTTTTCTCCCTTGAAAAGTGCACAGAACTGAAGTAGAAAGTTGGGAGAATGAGACTCTTCAAAGGGACTCCCCCCCACACACACACTTTCAAAGAAATGGTTGCTTCTGGTTTCATGAGTCTCCTGTTTTACTAATCTGTGAACACATCTTCTTGCTTCAAGAATCCACTCTCTGGCAACAACAGTATTTCTATTATGCATACTATACAAGTGGCAGAAGCACCCCCCCTACTTTTAAGCCAGAAAAGGGGGGGGACGGCTTTCAGAGCGGCTTCCAAACATCAGTAATAAAACAAATCATAATCAAGGATAAAACTTTACATTTATTTGAAACCAGCAATCTCTTTTCCACAGACTTCTCACCATTATCACTTGGCACAGAAGTCGAACACAAACCTTAGCATGCAAAGACTTAACCCTGTTCAGATTACACTTAGCCAAACTCTTAACTTTGTTCGCACGGAACAGTATCAATCACTTCCTATCCCCAAACCTCTAAACTTATTCCCCGTTTATTAGATTGCTTGGTGTGGAAGTAGATACCCAAAGTATTTAGGACAAATAAGTCTGCACTACTTTCATTACAAATGCATGGTTTTCTCTGACCTGACTGACCACTGCCACTGAGCCTGGGCAAACTATGGTGATTCCATGGACAAAATATGAACTCCATAGGAGTCAGAGATTTCCTGTCTCCTAGTATTGAAACAACTCGTTTGTCAATCACAGCTCTGACTTCACTCATTGACTAAAATCAGTGAAAAGTGAGGGAAACCAGGCTGGCTCATCTGTCTGAACTTTTCACTTCCTAATTAGTAGGAGGTTGA